GTGAAATATTCAATATTGATGCATTCTTATACACAGTTACCTCCTTGCATTAAATTTTCATTGGGATATTCATAGGTTTATAGGTACAAGAAAGTCAAATCATGGTTTTGCAAAAACTATATAGATAGAATTAACACAATAAAATATGTTGAAAAAATTAATAAAATCTCACACTTTGGTCTGCAGTTCACTATATTTTATTTTTTCTTTTGCAATGAAGCTAAAATAGTCTGCAGTTATTGTAATTAACTCTAATTAATACTATTAGTCTTAATATTATTACCTTAGGCGGTTGTCTGCTCTTAAGCAGCCATTAGTGTACAAGGTCCTTTTTGTCTGCTCCTAATCAACCCGCCATTAAGGCATAAGGCCCGCTTATAGACTATTACCCGCCCTCACAGTTCTAAAAATCGGCCTAGGCGCTAGGCGGTGCCCGAGCACCTCCGATTTGCACAATTGGCAGAAAAATCGATCAGGCGGCTAGGTGGGCCTAGGCGCTCCTAGACGGACTTGGTGGGCTTGGTGGCCAGGTGGACCTAGGCACTCCTAGGCGGGCTCGGCGACAATTTTTCAGTTTTTTTTTTTAAATACTAATTATATTATTTTGTTGTCATGTTTTCTTTAAAATATATTAATATTATTATTTAGACTTAGGTATGTCGATTTATTATAAGTTGAGATAACTCTATTTTAAGTAGTTAAAATAAATAACAAAATAAGGTATTTAATATTGATTTCTAGGCGCCGCCTAAGCCCCGCCTAGACGCTCTAAACGTTAAGCGCTGGTCGAACGCCTAGCGGGCGCCTAGAGACTTTTAGAACACTGGCCGCCTTTAAATTGACCCAATGAATCATATATGATTGTGGAGGCAGAGAGACAAGAAAAGAATTTTGTCTACCCTATAGTCAATGTTCAATGCATTTGCACGGGCTGCCACTTTTCATTAAAGATCAAATCTTGTCCCCCAATTTGCCTTTATTTTTTGTTCAAAATCAAATATTTTTGATGGCCATGATACCAACAAAGTCTTTTAAAAAGAATATTAAGGACAGCTACATTGCAAGCACATGCAGAATCATTCCCCTTAGAGAAATTGTCTAACTATAAATACCATCCCTCAAATTTTCTCCATTCTCCATTCTCAATTCTCAAAACAAAGCATCTTTATGAAAAAGGAAGAGGAAAATATGGCTGCTTCACAATCACAAATTAAGTTCAGATCCATTAGCCTGCCCTCAAGGCTACACCCCATAAACTCCACAGAATTTGAATCCAAGCTACAAAAGATCAACTCTTGTTCTTCCGAAAATGCCCCCATCACCTCGGAGACCATTCGATCTGGCCTTTTGGGCCTTGCCGAACTTTACAACTCGATCGACAGACTCGCACAACACAACAAAGATCCGAAATCGATAGACGACTTGCTGGACAGCTCGGTCCACTTGCTGGATTCTTGCAACACCATTAGGGAGTTGGTTCAGATGATCCGGGAAAGCGTACGTGCCCTCCAATCCGCCTTGCGCCGCAAGGGTCTTGCGTGCCCCGCCATGCAAGACGACGTAAGTTCCTATTTCTGTTCAAGAAAAAAGATGAACAAGTGCATAGACAAGGGCCTCAAGGCACTCAAGAGTTTGGAAAATAAAAACGGATCGAAGGTTGTTTCGACGAGCGATTGGGCGACGATCAACGTCTTCAAGAGCACTTTGGTTTTCTTGTCCATGCCGGTTGGAAAATCGTGCGGCTGGAATTTGATCTCCAGGCTAATGATCACAAAATCTGTGGACAGGGATCAACTAGGTGTTATTAGTGAGGTTGGGTTAGTGGATACTGTGTTGTGTGGGCTTAGAAATGGGGATTCGAAGGCTATTGATGTGAAAATGGTGCAGAAGAGTTTACAAAATCTTGATGATTGTATTGAAGGGATTGAGGCAGCTCTGCAGAGATTGTTTAGGCAATTGTTGCAAAATAGAGTCACCCTTCTTAACATTGTTACAAATCATTGAGATCACACATGAAGTCTGTAAACATGGTTTTTAGGAACCAGAAATTTTGTATTGTATGATGTATTGACATAATATTACACAGTTATTATATTCATTCAAAATTTTGTCCAATTTCTTTCTTTTCTTCTTTTATATATTTTAATTTTTTTCTGTAAGTCTAATGAAATAACATTTGTCTAACCAAATAACCCCAAATTTGGCAAGTTTAAATGATATTGATAGGCTCTACATCATGTGAACCGGCTTCCTACACTCGAACTGACCTCCAAAACCTGCAAAGCGCACCGGCCTCCAAAACCTGTAAAGTGCCGGAAGGAACCCGACATAAAGATTCTGACACTCAAGTAACTAATTACGTGCCACGAAAAGAGTTCTCAGTGCCGTTGCCCACGTCAGAACAATGAGAAGGTGATTAGGTTCTCATACTATGGATGACGCCTTCTCCAAGCCTTAGGATTATAAATAAGATCACATTACTCTTTTTGACCTCCCTGCTATACTATACCGAGTTCTTATTGTGCCTAGCTCTTATCACGTCGAGCTCTTAGTGTACCGAGCTTAAACACTCCCAAGTCCTGCCACATCATAGTTACTACTAAGCCGAGCTAGTATCGCTCTCGAGATATGCTACCAGCGTAGCTACTACTAAGTAGAATTACTATCAGCCCAGCTACTATTTAAGCCGAGCTACTTCCAGCCCAGTCACTGTTAAGCTGTGCTATTACAAACCCAGGTACTGTTAAGCCGAGCTATTTCCAATCCTATCATATTAGCTACTCCCGGTTCATGGACCGAGCTAACTTCTGCCCGGTTCACCTAGCTATTCTTATGTGCTATATCATCTAGCCCCCCACTATCAAATGAGCTATGGGTTTCTTAGCTCCATAGACGTGTTTGATAATTACAATAATAAATAGCTAAATTATCGACCCTCTGTCATAGTGCTCCGTCCGAGCTATACACTACAAGAAAGTAAGATAATGATGAATTCCAATAGAATTATTCCAACGCCAATTCTAACGGATTTTCAATATTATTATTTCCATCGGAATTTTTCAATGGATTTCAACGGAAATTCCAACAAAAATATTTCGTTGGAATATGTTTTCCATTGGAAATTCTGTTGGATTTTGACGATTCCAACGGTGGATTTTCCAATGGGTATGGAAATAAAGATTCCAATGCAAATTGCATATTCCAACGGAAATTCCTACGACAAAAAGCCGTTAGAAATATAGGCGTTGGAATCATCAAATTTTATCTAAAATTCCAATGAAATACATTCCAATGGAATATTTTCGCTGGAATTTCTGTTGGAACCATTACAGCGAAAGCTATACCATTGGAATATCCGTTTGAATTTTCATTGGAATATATTCTCCGTTGGAATATAACATTTTTTTTTGTAGTGACATTTGAAGAGACACGCCTCGAACATTGCACCCATCCTTTCATCTGCCTTGTCATTATGTCACTTCGACTTCCGTGCCTAGGGTTTGTATTACAGCCCTTGGATCTGCTTTAATCCAACGGCTCTCCTAGCCATTTTTCTACTATAAAAAACACCCTTCTCCCACATCCAACCCTTTACGCCTTTTGACATTTGAACCTAATTTCTGCAAAAAATTTTCTTTCGAATTTGTTCTTCATTTTTTCGACAACCTCCCTTGTTTTTCAGCATCCGAGTGCTCCCCTTCCGACGACAACCTTGTTCATCATGGGTAAGTACTTTCCGCTCTTTTGTTATTTCTTGTTCGTTTTCTAATATATGTTGCGATTTCTTCTATTTTTCGTTACTATATTTTTTTTTTCGAATTTTCCGACCACTGTATTTAGCAATCTCATATTCTCCAGCCACCATGTTCTCTTCTGATTTATGTGTATTTTTGTTTTGTTTGTTCTTCTCTTCACTCTTCCTCTCTTTCCTCTCTCCTTCTTTCTTCTCTCTCTCTCTCTCTCTCTCTCTCTCTCTCTCTCTAGACCCTGCTCATAGCTCTCTCGATATTGTGACCATCTCCTCGGGTTCCGATCCTTCTGGTCTTAACCCGAGCTCCTCGTATGAAGAGTTCGTAACTCACCCTGATACCCATATCAGCTATCCGAGCTACACCCCTTATATCAACTTTACAACTTCGTGATGAAGTTGATGGTGATGTTCCTTGGGAAACTTTAAATCACATAGTAGACTCTTGGTTACCTAACTGTTAATTGTATTTTTGTGCTTATTTTCGTGTGTTATATGTGTTCGAGTTTAGTGTTTTTAGGTTCGTTTTAGTGTCAACCGGTCTATTTTATCGTGTTTCGTGCATTTTTATTCTCGTATTGTGTTTTTGTTGTTCGGCGTACTTTTCTTGTTTTTTTGGTGATGTTTAGGTCCACATTATTAGATCTTCGAAAGACGAGCCATTTTCGAGACATTTTCGAGTCGTCCGAACCATGTTCGAGCCACACGAGCCATTTCTGAGCCGTTCCGGGCGTAATACTAATTGCATGGTGATATTAATTTGTGCATCTCAGGAGAACGAGATTTGGAAAGCGTGGGTCAAAGTTTCAAGTCAATTGGATATGTGTGCGAGAAGTTTAGGGCGAATTGAGTATCAACGGGCTATGACCGATGACCGCGCGTCGCAACGCGGCAAAATTATAAATTATATTTTTCCTCAACTAACATCTACTAACTAGTAGTAGTGGCGAGCAAGGGTCGATCCCACGAGGAGTGTGAATCAAATTGTGAATTTTCTTGTATTAATTGAAACTATAAAAGCAATAAAAAAGGGGGATTGAGATTTAATAGCTAAACTAGCTAAAATAAAATCTAAACAATGACAATAAAAATAAAATAAAATAAATAAGAGAAATTTCTAGTTCACGGTTCCGTCTACACCATCGACTGACTCGTCTAATCAACTTTGGTATCAAATCTCGCTATTTTATGAAATTACTAGCCCTAGGCAACGACACGGTCTGTTACACGAATTTTTCCTTATTTTTAATCTAACCGCGAGACGCTCTACGATTAAATCTGACCTCTTGAACAGTCTAGGAAATGCTTCCTAAATTTAATTCAATTAGCCGCTTTACGATTTAGAAAAATAGGCTAGACTAAGTAGCGAAATTTTCATTCACTTACTTAGGCTATGTTATCCCCGGTAGTTACCATCTTCCGGTAGCCTCTAATTGATTAAACATATCAACAATTACGGATTGACAGTTGAATCTAGCAGTAGATGTGAAAAGCCTAGTCTAGGTGATCAAGCTAAACAAGACTCAACAAATCAGGGTTAATTAATCAAAATAACACAAACAATTCTAAAAGATATTGAAATTATCAATCAGAATTAATCAAACATTCGTCGAGTCTTAGGTTCAACTTCCCCGGAACTAGAATAAAAGAACTACTCACTACTCATAATGTATGAAAACATGTTCATGAAATTAATTACACAAGAAAGAAAAGAAAAAGAAAAGAAATAAATTCTTCTCTGTTCGTAGACTTCAGTCGCTGCTCCCTCTCTGTTGCTGCTTTCTTTTCTCTGTTCCAGCCGCCAAAAGAAAAAAAATCCTCCCAATAATAGGTCTTCAAAATATATATATATATATATATATATATATATATATATATATATATATATATATCTCCCTGCCACGTGTGTGTATCTCATGGACCCTTAATCCCTCTCTTTCTTGGGCAAATTCTATAGACCCCTTTTCAACTTCCAGTTCAGTCTCTTCCTCTAATTTTCTTCCACTTTACTCCCTCTCACTTGCAATAAAATAATAACCCTCTTAGTATTCCCACAATACCCTTATCTTTATTCAAGTCCAGAAAATTAGTACCAGTTTATTTTGGAATCATACCACTTTAATAAGAGAATAGTACCAACTTTATTAATACGTAGTACCAAGCTTTTGTACCTGAATTTTCCACTTAAAGAGTTCCCACAATAAAATGAACAATATCAGGCCCAACATGCTTCCGTAAAATTAAATAACTCCATAATTTTCGTACCTTTTTTGACCAAAATGGTTCCGGGTGAGATGGGTTGCAATTCCACCAGTCGGAAAATTAGTGCCCCTAGTTCCTTTCACGGACAGTTCCTCACCGTCTAACTTCACCAATGGGAAGATAAACTACAAGTTATCCGACTCCTTCAGATACCACTCAGCACAGCCTTGGTTCATTTCCTACTCCAGGCGTACAGATACTTAATTATGGAGATAGATGAAAATTACGACAACATGTTGTGAAGCAAAAGCCTCATTTTTATTAAGAACTCAAAGTGATTTTATTACATAAGTAATCTCCTTAAGGGAGGAGAAAACCTTTTAGCCTCTCATAATAGAGGCAAACACTCGTACACACATAAAAATTACAAAGAAAATTAAAAGACACACAAGCTCACACACTATTATTACAGAGAATTTTATTTTGATGAGAAAACTGAAGAGGATATTCGATGTCTTCTGTTTCCTCCAAATCTTGTATTTATAGAGGTCTTGGAGTCCTCTATTATTGCTTGTACCAACCGGTAGGTAAATGCCTTGTGGTCTTCACATGTTGATGGGTCCGGTTTGGAGAATTATTGAACCCACTTTCCTCTGTCGGTCACATGGTGTATGTGGAGCTGACTCGGAAAAACTTGTCTTTTCCTTTGGTGGAGGAATCTTTCTTTTTTCCTTGTCCCGCCATTAATTTACTGGTGGGCCTCCCTGTCTAATAAATCTTAATCAGACTCGTCTTCTTTTAAATTTTTGAAATTCCGGTTTTTTGGAATTCCCTTTTTCTCCGGTTTGTCTTTCTGGCCGGGTCTTTCCCGTTTCATCGGAAATAATTTTCCGAACAGTGGCTTCTCTTGAATTGCACAACATGGACAAATATTTTCGTGCCATCTAAGACCGTGCAACATGTTACACGCCTTTCTTCGTGTATTCTCTGTGGCTGTCAACTTGTTTTCCCATAAGAATTTTCTTTTATTCTCGAACAAGTCGTTTGCAAACTT